GGGGGGGGCGGGGGAAGCTTGTATAACACTTAGTTTGGTTTTCTTTTTGCTGGGGTGGGTTTTGAGTAAATCATTAGTCTGCTCGGTTTCTTTCATAATCTGAAGTGGATTGAGCATCTAAATCCTTCTTCTCTGCCCCCCCCCCCCCCATGTGAAGGGGAACAGCCTCAACCTTTTGTCTTATTCTGCTTTGTAGGAGAAAGATACTCTATTTAAATAGTTATGATTCATTTAGGTTAATTATGCTGCATTGGGGGTGGGGTATAAATCATTTGAGACTCTTGCACCACTCCCTGTGTGGCCTGTGTTTTTCTTTGTTTTAAAATTAGACTATTTAGTTTTTATGTAAATAATATTTGGGTGGTTTCACTCATATTTATAGTGCTATGAATTTCATGTGCTCCTGCCTCACAGCAGACATGGGGAAAAAAGGCTATGGCAATGGACTTCGCAAAACTATTCTAGTGGTTCTCAACCTGCGGCCCATGTGCCGCTTGCGGCCCAATCAGCATACCACTGCGGCCCATGTAGTATCCTCACCTCAGGGCCATACAGATAGTTTATATATTGTGTGGATGCAGCTCACATAACACAGAGAGAGTTGCCTATGCGGCCCACAATGGTAAATAGGGTCAGAACCAGAAGATATCTTCTTTCCAAGCAGGGATTGTGCAGGGAGGAACAACAGACCTAGTGCAGCTGTGTTGTTTCTGGCTACTAGTACTGAAATGGTTCAGAATGCCTAGGTTCAAGTGGCACCAGTTCTAAGAGTAAGGGTGATTTAGTGCAGTGGTTCTCAACCAGGGATATGCATAGTCCTGCGGGTATGCAATGATCTTCCAGGGGGTACATCAACTCATCTAGATATTTGCCTAGTTTTACAATAGGGTACATAGAAAGCACTAGCGAAGTTGTAACAAATTAAAATTCATACAATGACTTGTTTATACTGATCATAAGAACAGCCATACTAGGTCAGACCAAATGTCCATCTAGCCCAGTATCCTGTTTTCTGACAGCAGCCATTACCAAGTGCCCCAGAGGGAATGAACAGAACAGGTATTCATTAAGTGATCCATCCCCCGTCGTCCATTCCCAGCTTCTGGCAAACAGAGGCTAGGGACACCATCCCTGCCCATCCTGGCTAATACCCATTGATAGACTTATCCTCCATGAATTTATCTAGTTGTTTTTTGAACCCTGTTATAGTCTTGGCCTTCACAACATCCTCTGGCAAGGAGTTCCACAGGTTGGCTGTGTCTTGTGTGAAAAAAATACTTCCTTTTGTTTATTTTAAACCTGCTGCCTATTAATTTAATTTGGTGACCCCTAGTTCTTGTGTTATGAGAAGGAGTAAATAACACTTCCTTATTTACTTTCTCCACAGCAGTCATTAATTTTAATAGCCTCTCTAATCTCCCTGAGCATTTCACAGTTATTATCACCATTCTGGTCAGGTGGTAGGTAATATATCTCTACTGCTATATTCTTATTATTCCTGCTGAGTTGTGACACTTTTGTACTATGTTTGATTTTGTAAGCAAGTAGTTTTTAAGTGAGATGAAACTTGGGGGTATGCAAGAGAAATCAGACTTCTAAAAGGAGTACAGTCGTCTGTAAAGGTTGAGAGCCACTGATTTAGTGCAAGTACCACCGGTAACATGCAGGGCTGGATTAACTTTTTGTGAGCCCAGTGCCAAACATTTTTGTGGGCTCCCATGGGGCAAGGTGCAGGGAGGCGGGATGGTCAGTCTCCAGAGTGAAGGGCAGGCTGGGGGCAATGAGGCACAGCTGGTGGGAGCAGCCCCGCTCTGGGCAGCCCAGCAGGAGGGCACAGTTTACAAACCTGCAGCTGCCAAACACACACTGGCCTGCCCAGCCCTGTGCTGCCAGCTTGCCCCATCCCCTTGAGGGTGGGCCCGCACCACACCACCCTCCTGCCCTGTGCCCCACCCTTATACCCAGTGTCCGCTCACCCAGAGACCTCCACCACAGATCTCTATGCCTAGTCCCCACCCATCCTAGAGATCTCCCCCACTAGCCTCCCACCACAACTGCACAGCACCCTGCACACCACACCGCTCGCTCAGCACCTCCCCGCCCATAGACCTCCCCACTGCCCACCACCTTCCTCACAGTCCCACCATCACACGTGGGGGTAAGAGAGTTCTCTGTGGGGCAATCTGGGTGCGGGTGGCTCAGTGGGAGATCTGGATACACAGAAGCTCATCGGGGAGTTCCAGGTGCAGGGGCAACGGGACTCTGCAGGGGATCCAGGTGAAGGTGTTTGGGGCTCAGCAGGGGGGTGTAGGTGCAGGGGAGGTAGGGTTCATTTGGGTGGGGGTGTAGGTGGTTGGGGCTCAGTGGGGAGGGTGTCGGGGGACTCATTGGGGTGGTACAGCTGCAGAGGAGGTGGGGCTTATCAGGGTGAGGGTTCGATGGGCCTGTTTAACAGGGGAGCCCCAGCTTCTGCCAAGGGGATGCCGCATGCTGGGCTCCAGCTTCCCCCCTACCCCCACATCCCAAGCCCCTTCCCCACTGCTCCATCCCCTCCTCATCCCACCCCCTTCCTTCCCCCCGCCCCTGCTTCCCCATCCCATGCCCCTTCCCCACCGCTGCATCTCCTACCCAGGCTTGGGGGACATGGGGGAACTGCCCCCCAGCACGAGCTGGCAGAGTGGAGCGGGTTGGGGCCGGGTTGTTCCACTTCCTGCCACCTGTTAATTGCAGGGCAGGCCCGACCCAGCACTCATGGAGCGGGGGAAAGTGGAGTGACCTGTCCCCAGCCTGCTCCGCTCTGCTCTCCTGGCTCCCAGAGTTTGGGGGAGGGGAACCGCCCCCCAGCACTCACCAACGGTGCGTCTGGGAGCCTGCGGAGCGGAACAGAGCAGGTTGGGACCAGGTTGCTCCACTTCCTGCCGCCCCGTGAGTGAAGGGCGGGCTGGATCCCTGCTGCAGTTCCCCAGAAGGAGTAGCTCAGGGGAGGATGTTTGTGGGGGGAGGGGCAGAGTGGGGCGAGGCTGGGGAGCAGGAGCGGGGGCAGCTTTCCTGGCCGGCTCAGCTGGCTGGGGGATCGGGCTGGCCAGGCCAGGCATCCTACTGACTCTGGGCCGGGCGCCACGGTAAACCCGGTACTGGTAACATGGAACCCTGCAAAAGCTTTTAGTGCAGATGAATTTGAGAGCAATTCAGAGAGAAACAGCTGCAGAGCATGTTAGAAAGGGCTGACCTGTCCGCATTGTCTGTGCGTGACAAGCTGTCATGTGGTACAGAGGAGCCTGTGAGAGGTATCGCAGTTTCAGGAAGTAAAAGCATGAGGGTTTGATTGGTTGCTGGGCGCTCCACATGCTAATCAGGAGGTGTGTTTCTGTAAATAGCGACATAAAAATCTTGTAATGTACGGTGTTCTAAAGCTGGCTGAATTGTGCTTTAATAAAATGGACACCTGGTTTTCGATTTTTGTCCTTTAGTTCGTTGAGGGCGAAACCTGTTGTATGAAAATATTCACCGTGGCAAGAAAGCTTGTGCACGTTAGCCTGGGTGTGTAGCCGAGGAGGATTTTGTTAAGACTATACTTTCAGGGATCATTTCTATAGTTTGTAACTAGAGAAGTGTAGCCGAAAGTGTCTGACCTTGCTAACCACGAGGAGGAGTGAAAGTGTTCTCTTCTGAGCGCGAAGCGAGCAGACAGTGTTGCTTTAATGCAGCTGCTGTCTGTTATTGATGACCGTTCCTTCTTTCCTTTTGGGAAGTTGGGAGGGAGAGAACACAGACTGAGTGGTTAGTTCTTTTATGTTGTCTTAAAAAAAGGTTTTATTTTTTTTTCTTGTATCTTCAAATTCATTTTGGCTTTTTTTTAAGATTATATTTTTAGTGGTAGGTGATCTGTTTGTGTTGAAATCCAGTAAAGAAATTTCTGTTAATATTTGATTGCTTGTTAAGATGTATTTATATAAGTATAATAGAAATTTTGTATGTTGTATTTTTAATTAAAATGATTAAAACAGTATTATTTGTGATGTCATAGCTGTGTTAATCCCAGTATGTGAGAGACAAGGTGGGTGATGTAGGGGTGAAAACATTATCTCTTACTGGACAAACTTCAATTAGTGAAAGAGTCAAGTTTACAGAAAGCTCTTCATCTGAGAAAAGTGCTGAGACTGTAACAGCTAAATATAAGGTTGGACAGTTGTTTAGCGCAAGGAGTTAACACGGTTGTAAGAGACCATTCAAAGTGAAGTGGTCAACTAACACCTCTGCAATCATATGACAAAGGTTGGTTAGTGGGACCCCGGCCTTCCGCGAAGCCCGAGCCCGCAAGCTCGAAAAATACGCCCCCCTGGCTGACACCCTGCGGACTAAGGGCTACGAGGTGCACGTCGACGCTCTGCTCGTTGGGGCCCTGGGTGCCTGGGACCCGTGTAACGAACGCGTGCTGAGGACCTGTGGGGTGGGCCGTCATTACGCGCGGCTCATGAGACGCCTAATGGTCTCAGACACTATCCGTTGGTCCCGGGACATTTACATCGAGCACATCACCGGCCACCGCCAATACCGAGAGTGAGCCGGGGAGACCTCGTGCACCCACACACACCCCCTGCTGGACCCTATCCCCTGAGCCCTAAACCCACCAAACCTAGCTGAATCCCGCCACGTGAGGGTCACCCCATCCCCATTACCCAGCCCGCTTACTTATACCCATGACTGTCTCTACCTCCCGTATGGGTGATAGACCCTCACCGTTTATCGACTGTCTCCTGATCCCGCCCACCGATTACCCACCCCTCATTGGGGACATTGCAGTGTGTATATACTATGTGTGCTGCCCAGCCCCAAAACACCAACATACCCCCATACTCTGTATGCTACCCCCAATGACCAATAACTAACGCTTCAAATTTTCTGTATCGTTTATTTCTTTTAAATATTCTCTAATAAAATTTAAATCTGTTCTCCCACTACAAGAAAGGGACCACGAGACCTTCTCCGCTGGATCATATGAACTGGAACCATAAACTCCCTGAACATTAAATCTCAACAAATGAGGGGCAATCCATCCTCATCATCATATCCACTCATTATACTCCACACCCGAACATAGCCACTCTATGAACTTCCTACCCTCATATCTCAGTGCCTGTACTTTGACCCATCAACCCTTTACCTCCAATTGGGGTCATTGCAGATTATGTATTCCTTATGCCACTTGATTTTAAACCAAACTTTGTACCCTCGATAATCTGTACATTATTCCCTGATAAACAGAAATTTCTGTGCTCAAACTCTGTTCACTTTTTTTTAACATCATCTTAATAAAATTATTATAATGAGCCATAAATCCAGTGTCTCTATTGAGTCCATGATTTTTAGTCTCTAACAAAGTTATGAATTTAAGATCCCAGGCTTGTCTTTTGCAGGTAGTGTGCCATTTTTCTTTCGCCACAAGAACTGAGAGGTCAGATATCGAGTGGTCATTTTTTGCAAAGTGGTTTGCTACTGTTGGTATGGTGTTTTTGTCTTTTATAATTTTTCTGTGTAAGTTAATTCAAGAGCATAGTGATTGTCTCATTTCACCCATATAGTTGTTACTGAGGCATTTAGTACTTTGGATGAGGTACTGGAGTGCAGGAATAGGGGAGCTCAAGGGGGCATGGCCCTACCTCTGCCCCTCCTCATCCTCCTGAGGTCCTCACCCCCCCTCCCCCGTCCAGGTGGGGAGCCCGGGCAGCTGTGGGGTGCTGCGGACCCTCCACCTGCCTGGAGTGGAGGGTTGAGAGCAGTTCCCAGCCCATGTCCTTGCCCTCCCCCCTCCCCCCCCGGGCAGGAGGGTCCGCGGCTCCCTACAGCTGACCGTGTGCCATGCACAGCTCTTACCTGGACCCGGCTCTGACTGGGGGCTGCAGCTTGGCCATGGTAAAAGCCATCTGGGCAATTGTGGGGAGTCGCACCATGGACCCTCCACTTGCCCTGGGTGGATGGGGGGGCCCGTGGGTCAGGGACACGGGTTGGGGTCTGCTTTCAACCCCCTCACACACACACCCCTGGGCAGGTGGAGGGTCCTCAGGCAGCTCTCGGCCCATTCCAGGTTGGCTTGGGGCAAGGCCTCCGGTGGAAGAGGTAAACGTTTTTTGTTTTGTTTTTGTTGTGTTCAAGTTAGACTGATAGGTTAACTATTTCTGTATTACTTACACTTATATATAGGGGCCCTACCAAATTCACAGCCATGAAAGACGCGTTACCGCCCATGAAATCTGGTCTCCCCCTGTGAAATCTAGTCTTTTGTGTGCTTTTACCCTATACCATACAGATTTCACAGGGGAGACCAGCGTTTCTCAAACTGAGGGCCCTGACCCAAAAGGGAGTTGCAGGAGGGTCACAAGGCTATTTTAGGGGGTTGCGGTACTGCCACCCTTACTTCTGTGCTGCCTTCAGAGCTGGGCAGCTGGAAAGCGGCGGCTGTTGGCCCAGCTCTGAAGGCAGCGCCCCACCAGCAGCAGTATAGAAATAAGGGTAGCAGTACTGCAAACTCCCCCTCCATAACCTTGTGACCCCCCCCACAACTCCTTTTTGCGTCAGGATCCCTACAATTACAGCATCGTCAAATTTCAGATTTCAATAGCTGAAATCATAAAATGTACGATTTTTAAAATCCTCTGACCCTGAAATTGACCAAAATGGACCGTGAATTTGGTAGGGCCCTATTTCTATAACATTTAATTGAAAAAGTTAAAGATTGATAATGGGGGGGTGTTTGAAATTGTATAATCATGTGGCACGACTACTTATTTATTTATACTTTTCAGGTATTTGTGTTGACACAATTAACTCTTTGGGCCAGACTGCTCTGTTTACTGCTGCATTGCTAGGTCTTGGTAAACTAGTAAGTGTGCTCTTGGATTATGGATCAGACCCAAATCAGTTAAGTATAAGAGTCAGAATTATATCCTTAATAAACTGAAACAAACTTAAGTTTGTTATAGCATCAACTTTATTGTAATGCACAAGATTTTCCTTAATAATTGTCAATGAGCAGATGAAAGAGAGACATAGCCTTCATCCAAACTATAATTGTTACAGAGCTGATAGTTGGGGAAAGAAAAAGCCCAGGGCCCTGACTTTTAAAAAGTATTTAGGCTTTGCTCTGCTCAGTGGTGCATGGCCTCAAGCCTGTTCTATACTTAAAAGTTAGGTCAACATAGATCTGATGCTCAGAGATGTGAAAAATAGTGCCATAGCTATACTGATCTAACATGCGGTGTAGATGTGGCTAGGTTGACAGAAGAACCAAGCTACTGCCTGTCAGAGAGGTGGATTAACTACAGCAACAGAAAAACACCTTCCATCCTTGTAGAAAGCATCTACGCTATGGCACTGCAGCAGTGCAGACATGGTCAAAGTGATTTAGATCTTGCAATGCTGAGCAGAGCAAAGCCTAGATACATATATCAGAGGGGTAGCCATGTTAGTCTGGATCTGTAAACAGCAACGAAGAGTCCTGTGGCACCTTATAGACTAACAGATGTATTGGAGCATAAGCTTTCGTGGGTGAATAGCCACTTCGTCAGACGTCTGACGAAGTGGGTATTCACCCATGAAAGCTTATGCTCCAATACATCTGTTAGTCTAGAACAGGAGTTGGGTTCTTTTGTGAGGCCTGCCAAGCTCCCTGTGCTCCCCCCCCCCCCCGTGCGCCCCCCGCGCGCCCCCCGCCCCTCTGTCTACCCCGTGGCGCTGTGATCCCCGCGCCGCTCCCTGAAGCGGCTGGAACTATGGCCCTGCAGGGCGGAGGGGCGGGAGTAGAGGACTCCGTGCTCTCACTTCTAGGCACTGCCTCCCGCAGCCCCCATTGGCAGGGAACGGGGAACCGTGGCCAATGGGAGCTTTGGGGAAGGTTCCTGGAAGAGCAGCACATGGCGCCGTTTCCCCCTGCCCCCGGGACTCCGTCTGCTTCCTGGAGCGGAGCGGGGCCAGGGGCCAGGGTAGGTAGGCAGGGAGCCTGCCCTGGCCACGGTGCGCGGCGCTGCCACACTGGAGCTGTTCTAGATAAGCGGCGCCGGGCCGGAGCCCGCACCCCGCACCCCTCCTGCACCCCAACCCCCTGTCCGGAGCCCCCTGCCACATCCCACACACCCCTCCTGGACCCCAACCTCCTGCCACACCCTGCACCCCAACCCCCTGCTGCACCCCTCAACCCTCCTGCACCTGACACCCCAACTCCCTGCCCTGAGCCCCTGCCGCACCCTGTACATTTCCTGCACTCCCTGCCCTGAGCCCCCTGCCGCACCCTGCACCCCGACCCCCTGCTGCACCCCACACCCCAACTCCCTGCCCTGAGCCCCCTGCCGTACCCTGCACACCTCCTGCACCTCAACTCCCTGCCCTGAGCCCCCTGC